ATAGAAACTAATGAATTATATTTTCCTCTTTATAAAAAAAAAAATATTTTCTTTCTACAATACTTAATACAGATGATTTTATAGTTATGTATTTATAGCGGCATTATCGTAATTTCATTTGTGGCGATAGACCCAAATAGTGTTCAAGGACTGCGTTAACCTTATTTATGTATAATAATATTTCATCCCGAGATAAGAGAAGCGAGCACTCACTCACTGTCGTTTACTATTCAAGGACATTTACTTCTTTTATAATAATTTGTAATTGAATGATTATTATCTATTTAATAAATAGTCTATTATGTAATGTAACATTATAACGAACGTCAGTCTTCGTAGATTTAATTTTTTTTTATATTAAGGGTATTCAAATACTGTCATAACAGTTAGTTATGAAAGTAAAAAAGAATATATTCAATCAAATTAGAATTTTCTTTCATGTTATACTAGTAAACCTAGCGAACTCCGTTTCGCTTCCAGAAGGCTTTGTTTTATGTAACATTTCATTTGGTGATTAAAAGATGAAGAATTTTTTTTTTTTGTTTTATATTTGAAAAGGAAAATAATTATTTCATTTCACAACAGTAATGAATAATTCATTTCGATTACAAAAATAAAGTGTTATTTAGTTGAACTTCTCTAAGTAAATGAAAGTGAATCCAAAGTAGATACCGAATCGAAGTGTTATATGTATCCGCAAATTATCCGTTTCATTGAAGTGCTCCTTTGTTAACCACATTTTTTGTTTTTTTTGTCTAACATTAACACAAATAAAGCGGATGGTTTCCCAACTCGTGAACACACAAACTATAACTGCCCATGTGAAAAACAATGATTTTCTAAATTTATCCCGGAAATACTAAATAACATATCTGTCATTATACGTCAATTGCATAGCTGTCAATTGTATTTCGTTATTCCACGTTTTATAGTGACTGACGTTTCATGTCAAGTCCCACGGGAATGCTGTCGAACGGGATAAAAAGTATCCTATCGCAATTCCCTGGTTCTAAAATACCTCCCTGCCAATTTTCAGCTAAATCGGTTCAGCCGTTCTTGAGTTGTAAGTGGGATAACTAACACGACTTTCTTTTATATACATATATAGATGAAAGGTTTTATAAGGACCTTGGGAACTTATTATGTTAAGAGTTGAGCAATGTTAATGGAAGCAATAATGGTAGATTACCTTTAAAAAAATAATATTAGCAAATATATTAAACACAAACAAGAAATGTATCTATTGGGGGTGTTACGGAGGCTTTATGATACAAAACGATTTAGATAATTGAAGTAAAGGTATGAGAAACAAGTTCTAAGTTAACTTTTAATGTGAGGGAGGTTTTATATGTAGGAGTAAACATACGGTTTATGTATATGTATGAATTTTAAGACATTATTGAGGTTTTGTTTTTACGATATGTATAGGGAGAAACTTTGTTTATAAATATCGAAAAACCATCAAGATTGTCGTTATTTATTTTATAGTCATCACCTTTGTCAAAATTTAATTTGTTGATGTTACAGTTTTTTAACTGCAACGTAATCTTTATAAGCAAATAAATTACTGAAATATTTTTTTTTATAATAAATGAAATCGAAGATAATTTAAGTAAACCTTATCTTGACAAGTCATGAATTTTTATTCAAATAATGTTTTTTGATTGAGAAAAATTTAAGCGTTAAATTAAGTCAGTCGTATAGAGTCACTCGCTTCACTGGGCTTCGATATTGAATGTTACCTACTCTTCAATATTGATAAAATTAGAATAGAACTATATTGTAAATTTTAAAATCAAAAAGTATTGTTAAATTAAATATTCAGCCAATCATGCCTTTCCTAGTCTAAAATAGTAGTAGTATTAGATAAATATATAAAACGTGAGATTATAAGATTCATTCATGTGTTCCAAATTTTTATCGGTATTTTACTTGAACTAATTTTATCACTCAGAACTTTATCGAAAATTTCATTGTTTAAAGATTCTTTCAGATAACGCAGTAAACAATTAAAATAAAAATAGGTCAAAAAAAAAATTGTTTGGTTTTACATTTGATTTTTTAAAACCTTAGTTTTAACAAAGTTCGCTATGTACATAAGTACATCTAACTTTTAAAGCTCGGACTAGTAAGCCGGCACGTGAGGTTTGTCTTAAGGCGACTGATTTGTATCATCTTACAAAAATAAATAATTTTATAAAAACAAATAGGATTTAATAAATAATATTAAAGTGGAATATATATTGTTAATTATGTCTTTGATCTTTTTGGGTATTCATTGTATTGCATTTTTGAATATTTTTCCTAAATTTCTAACTATAATAAATGAAAAGTTATTAAGAAGTTAAAAATTTGCTTTGTTCATAAAATGTTAATGATTTTAAAGATTATACATATTTATTTTGAATGGAACTAATCATAAAGAGGTTTGTCTTGAGGATAATTGTTATCTATAATTAGTTCTCGCCTCTTATACTGAAATAAATATATGCCATGTTTAGCGAACTCCTCTCATTGAGCAAGGAGATTAAAAATCGGTATATATGTTTACAATGCAATACAATACGTGTCTTCACGTATATTAAACCTTAGAAACACAATTCTTAATAAGCAAGAGAATCAAAGGGTGAACTTGGATTTGTTTAAAATTGTATTTTTACACAAGGTCAAACCATATTATATCAAAATAAATGTCGTATTACAGAAACTCTACAGTCTACAGTAATATAATATTTTGATATTAATAAGTGTGATAATATAAACCAATGGGTTTATTAAAAAACTTTACCTACCTTTCTATTTACAATATAACGGACAGACAATATATTATAACAGTTCAGTAAGTAATTAGTATCACCAGTTAATATTTTAATATGTAATGATTAATTATTCCTCATTCACATTCACTAACCATCATGTTATTTATACATCAGCTGTTGTTTTCAAAGTAATGTTTGACTCCACGTTATATGTATCTGTCTCATAGTATTATATTGTCATTTGTAAATCCAAATAAACACAAGATTACAATATCTAAGTGATGCGGGTTTGCAAAATAACATCTCCATAAGATTTGAATTCTGCTTTTCCTTTGAGTTACAAAATTATTCTGTTTTAGAGCACCATGAAATTATCTACTAGAAAAAGAAATTTTAGTTTTAATTTATTTTCCTTTCATGACTATCAGATGCCTCATTTAAAAAACAAACAGAAATCAACATTGTTTTATTGTTTGTGAAAACTTTCTTCAGCATAATTAATACTAAAATGGGATGTATATAAGAGACTACAAAATGAATAAGATTTTCAAAAGACTATTGCTCTGTAGTGATATAAGACTGAAAAATGCTTTTTTTCATTTGCTTTTTTTCGTTATCGGTGAGAAAAAGAAGTTTTATGTACATTATTATAAAACATAAAATTCCTGTGAAGCGACTGTTATCAGAAAATTTATAATAACAACAATAAATTCCTATAATATTATAAATAAGGATCAATTAATAGCAACATCCGTATTGATTTTTTTACAAAAATATACAAAACTAAATGTTCCTTTATTTCTCTTATAATTAACGGTATACATGTAATAAGTAGTGGTCTCATTATATTGAATATTATTTTTGTAGTGATAGTCAATCACAATACACTACTTATGATAGTCTACTTCATTGCAGAAACTTTTAACGTTTTAAAGCATAAACTAGGAAAGATATTTATTTTACATTTATAAGAGTAAAAATGATTTTACTTCTAAGATGATCATTTATAGTAACTGATTGACAGCTCTTTAATAGCTTTTCGCTGATGACATTCAAGGTTCAATTCATATTTTTTTTATCATTAAAAATAATGTAAAGCACTTTTTCTTTGAAGAAACGATATATAAAATAATTATATTATTGTTACTAATTGTACATATGTATATGTTTATACATAGTAATGCAGACTGGTTTCCTCTAATTTAATATCGTTGTTCACGGAAAATATTTTATTATCTCTTTTTCTACATTTTAAATTATATGCATTACAAATTTCATTTGTACTCGTTAAGTACTTTACGTAGGATAGTTGGTAAAAATCGTTACTTTTATACTTTGAGCACTATTATACCCGTCTTTATCTCTAAACGAATATTCGCTGCGAATAATTTAAAATGGAATTTTATGAGTAGAATTTGTTTTTTAATTGTTACTTTTGTTGTGGTTTAGCTCTAAGGCTTGTGAATTCACAGTCCATGTACTTATCGTGACTCATTAATTATTTTAATTGTATTATAAAACATTTCAATTTTGATAGTAATACTATATTTTAAATGATATAAAGATATGGTCTGATTGTGCTTAAAATACGGTATATATTATGTTATTATCAATGCGGATATTCTTAAACGTCAGTAAGTACCCAAAAAATCCTGAATATCATAACTTAATTAAGTGCATGAGCTAATTCTATTAATATTTAATATCGTCACTCGCCGCAATCACAAGCTCTGGGTTTTTAATTAATGAGTAATAATATTATAAACTTCTCGTGAACTAAATTAATACGTTAATATAAAGTGATTATATAAAAACTAAAACGCACGAAATGAAAATTAAGAATAAACATATTGTATTTGATGACTTTATTAATAATTATTACTTTTAGTTAGTATGTAATTTGTCATAAATTTTCGTGTTGGTAGTTGGGCCCGAAATATAATTAAGATTTTGTGAAATCCCAGGTGTGATATATTGCAGTTAACCTTTTAAAAATAGTGCTTATAATAATATAATGGAATTGTTTCTTAATTTTTTTATAAAATAAACTAATTTAAAACATGTTTAATATTCATTCAGATATTAACACATTGTATATGATTTCAACAAACACTGTTACCAGCAGACGAGAGATACTCAACAGAATGAAATCACATTGAACAGAAGCTAATAATAATACCAGCGGAGCTTGGCCGAGGAGAGCTTTGTTCACTCGCTTGGAACGGATGCAATGTATCACAGATGACGCGTTGTTACTTTTTATTAAATACAGTTAATTATGTTAATTATTACAGCGGTCAATACTCGCGTCGTCACGATAGGGTTCTAGAAGTCATACGTGAAGCGATTAGTCTTTCGGTAGCCAGAGCGCAAAAGGAAATAACCACAAACGAACTATCAGTAGGTTTTGTGAGAGAAGGCACTAGGGCTACAAAATCAAAGGTCAAGCCTTACTCCATCCTTAAAGCGGCGTCGGATTGGACTATAATGATGGACACGTATGAAAAACAATATAAAATCCCCGAGGATATTTGTGCGTCGGCCTCCAGACCGGATATATTTTTGTTTTCGCGAATTTTAAAGCGCGTAGTGATGATAGAGCTTACGGTCCCTGGGGAAACTAACATCCCCAAAGACCATACCATCAAGGTCAACAAATATTACGAGCTCACAAACGAACTCACTCGAAATAGGTTCGTAGTAGATTTGTACGCGGTAGAGGTGGGAGCGAGAGGTATAACAGCGAAATCTCTCTACAACCTACTAAAGGACTTGGGCTTGTCCAGAACTCACATTAATGCATTCTTGGAACGTACATCGAAGGCAGCCCTAGTAGGTTCTTTTCAAATTTGGTTAGGTAGGGAGAGGAGCTTGGACAGTGGAGGTGAGCGTATAACGCGCGTTAGTTAAGGGGCCCCTTAAACCTACACCTGGGTCGCAAGTCCCAGGCACTGTTGAAGCTCCTCTCCCTGCAACGTGATGGACCCGGCACCCTCACGGTGAATCCATGGAATGCTGAGTAGTTTCGTCTCTATATCATTTATAATATTTTGAACATATTTTACTATCATAAACTATTATGTAATAACTCGTTTTTGTGTGACATTTCCAAATCCTTAATGTTACGGGGATTTTGCAAAACAAGTTTTTTTCTCACTTGAACACAAAGAAAAAATAAGTTAAAAAATGACAGTTACGTGGAAAAAAGCAGCTTCATCATATTTAATGCAAACCTGTCAAACAATTCTATGGTGACACAAGTGTAGATTACAGATTGTTTCACTAAAAATACATTACTAAATTCACTTAACATTTAATATATTATCGTTACTTGAACGGTCCTCACTTATTAATGTCCTTGGATTTCAAGATGATCGGGTGGGTGGATGGCTTCGGTTCACAATAGCGCTTACAATTCTTATTTACCTACTCAAAGTCAATGAAAAAGTATTTTATTATTAAGTGGTGTAAAAGTTGGTGTGTGAAACATTTCAAATATCTTTTTTTTAATTTTTATACTCTTTAAACGTAACTCTCGAGTTTAAGACAAAATCGTTTCATCGTTAACAACATTACTATGATCAGTACGACTAACTAGCTAGATAGAACTTTTCTAATATTTATTGAGATTAAAAGGGAAATATCTTTGAATAACTAGTGTGAATCAGACCCATAACGTCTTGTCTCGCAACAACAGAGTTAGTTGTTATTCGGTAGTAATATTGGATAGCCCTTTTATTTATTTATTTATTTACTCTTTATTGTACACCAATAAAGACAGAAATAACAAGAGAAAAACAAAGAAAGGAAAATGTACAAATAGGCGGCCTTATCGCTAAAACAGCGATCTCTTCCAGGCAACCTTTAATGGTTTCTTCGAGTTTAATATCCAGATAACAATATTTTGTTGTTTAATTTCTTAACAACCTATATCATTTACAAGAAACAAATACAACGTCACCTGTTGACTCAATAAAGAGTTTTATTTTCAACGATATTTTAAGTTATTAAATGTAAAGTAAGTATATTTTGAAAAACCACCGCAATTAAAATGGTTATTTGTCACTATAATTTAAGCAAGTTCATTGAGATACCACTATACAAATGTAGCCACGGGCCGTCGAGAAAATATTGAAAATTAGACTAATATCTTCTATATATATAAAAATGGATTGCTGTTCCTTGGTCTCACTAAAACTAGAGAACGGCTGAACGGATTTATCTTAACTTAGTCTTGAAATGTTCGTGGAGGTTCAGGGAAGGTTTAAAAGATGAGAAAAATTGGAATAATTGCCGGGAAAACCCTAAAAACAGCCCTTTTCTATTTCCCATACAAACGTTTTTTTGACATTAGATTTGACAACTAACTAATATGTCAATCATTCTGTTTGATTGAAACAGGAAAAACCTGATTATTTATGGCCTCTAAGACGGAATAGAGTTTGCTTGGTCAGCTATACCTACATATATTACTTCTGACCAAACTAACGCGGACGAAGTCGCGGGCAAAAACTAGTATAGAATAGATTTAAACAAACGATTATAACATGTCACATACATTATTAACTCGGCGGGAAGCCGGCCATATACCAACACTGATTGTCGCTACTGGGACAAAAATACCACAATAATATTAATGTAAGAACTAGAGTTATTTTATGGATAATTAAATATAACCAATTTTTTATATTATATTGTTTCATTTTCAATGAAACAAGACAGTTCGAAACTAATAAACGCTTGGTATAATATGTTATATTTGAAATTTTATAACATAGCCCAAAAGCTCAGCCATTTTGTGCACAAAACGAAATATTTGCGAGTGTGTCTGGAGTGCTCTTTCCTGTTGTTTATTCGGAATATTATTATTTTGCTAGCCATTACCACTAAGTAAAAGTATTATTTTACTTTTCATAAATGAATGTAGGCAGGTTTAAGATGGTAGATTTACACTTAATTTGTGGCAATACAAGAGACAACACCTTCAAGTAATCTCTTCTAGGTCTCTTTCGTCAAGATTTTTTGTATTAGTCGAACCGTCGAACATCTGTCGAAAGGTATCTAAAACGGCGCTGCACAAAATTACTTACAAAAATAAATATTTTCGAAAGTATGCACTATGTGGTAAATTTTACCCGGTAGCGCCTGCCGCCGAGTTAATACTATCACGAAACAGTTGTGCGTAGAATTTTTTTTAAAAAACAACATTATTTACAGTGTGTAAAGATATATAACTATTTCGATAAAAAGAAATAACAATGTCCGTAGATAGCTATAGGGAAAATTCTCTAAAGAACAGGCTTGGAAGAATAGTACCTAGACGACCTTACATACTAGTGTTTCTTAAGAAATCTACAAATCGTATAAGGCAGTGTTAAGTTGGGGTTTTAAAATGACGATTATATAAAGTAGTACCACAGTATTAAAGACAGGTATTTCTAATAATACACATTTAACGCTTATCCACATATTACATGATGTTATTTTACTAAATATTTAATAAATTAAATGGTTATATTATATTTTTCTAGTATTGAAATGATAATTGTTTAAGATATAAAGGCTACTGGGTTTAAAAATGACACAGTTATCGTGTTTCCTTTGTTTGTAAAGTTATTGAGAAAACCTAGCCCATTTCAACTTACTTAATTTTGTCACAGAACAGACGGCAAGTTGATTATTTTTTAGAAACAATATTTATTTACCATCTGAGATGACGCATTTTTGGAGTCTTTCTGAAAAACCTTTTCTGTTATATCTCGTTATACATATTACTAAGTACTTATATAAGGTCAAACATTTAATACAAATAAACTAAAGTGATAAAAGAGATTGTGAGTTCAGTAACGGCTCACAACAAGTACATACATCTTTAATTTCAAGCTGATGAAGTAATTATGATAAAATAACATCGATATTATAAAATATTTTGAAATATTGAATATATTTTAGTTGCCTTCCAATCTGATTCTATTGTATTTCTTTACACAATCAGATTTGATAGGAAAACTCTATAACGTTGCGAACGACATCATAATATAAATTAATTAAGAGATTAAATAAATAATACATTAAATACATAAAATGTTATTTGCTTTAAGGGGACTGTTACTCGATCCTATTAATCGAACAAAAGAAATCGATTCCTATACAAGAAAAACACATAAAATCTACAAATACATTTCTTAATTATCTAGTTACATTATTCATAATTAAAGAATTGATTAAACTATTTGTTTATATAAATATATTTTATACATATACATGGATACGAGCAGAACATCAATTAGTAGTTCCTCATATAATTCTATAAACTCTGTCGAAAGCAAATATATATTTAAGCAATAACATTTTAATAAAATAGTTTAATTATTGTAACTGCATCGATATTATAATATTTCTAAAATAATTTTCATTTATAATACATAAAGTAACGACATTCAATACACATTAGATGAGCACAATAAGAAACGAATAGTCCTTGTACCAGCGTTATGGTTCATAGCATGGAGACGGTCTTGTGTAGGCCATGCATCACCAGAACATCAATAACTAGGCCTTGTAATATCAGGACTTGCTGTATTGAGCCCTTGACGGCTCCCTTATAATAAAATACGCTATTTACTTAAATAGAAACAATATAAAGTAGAACTCATAAGAATTAGTGAATCATTATAACAAAACTACTCAAAACATTGAATTTAATTAAACTCAAACGATCTTATAAACGTAATAGATTGTATTAAACACGTCAACCTTTTGAATTAAACGTTTTGTGTACTATGTTAGTACCTGGATCAATCGGGCGATTCGTGAGCGGCGAGCGAGGTGTCTGGGAACAGAGGATACCATCCATACGTGCGCTGCGGCAGGGACAGTCTGTCGAGACACATCTCCGCTCCTCACAAAGCGAGCTTGTGTTCAAATCCTCCGCATCGCTGCCACAGCATCACTACCAGCGTACGACCTAAGGCCTCGCTTGCCTAGTTTAAAATTGGATAGTTTATTATAAGTTGTTTATCATTCAGAGCTTGGACACTAGAATCAAAGGTATTATATCGGAGACTCACTTCACTTTAGTATCCTAAAGTAGTGTTGAAATCTATTAATATAAACTGTTGATATTATTATTCACACTTTCTTCAAATTGAAATGGAACGTTGGATTGTATACCACAATGAAATTGAAATCTACAGCAGAGGAGAACAATTAACAGTGATGTTTGTACTCCTGTGATAAAATTATCTTAACTGTAACCCTAAATAAACATTTTATATAAAATATACCTGATATTTAAGCGTTTGTTTGAAATGTGTCTCAGTGGTGCGGCGTATTACTCTTGTCTTACGCTTGTCAACCACTTGTCACCATCTCGAAGGTAGCATGTCACGTATGAGTCAGGCACTTCGTCATTAACGACGTACACCCGACGAGCATGAGATACCTGTTAGCAAACTTCAGTACAATATATGTTATTTGGAGCAAATATTAATGTATTAGTATGGTTTTCAACAAAATATTAGTAACAAATGAGTGCAAAGAAAACATTGCTTCATTAATAATTTTATGTATTCGTTTCTTATTATGTTCTGAATGTATTAGAAACTTCAGTCATATTTGGAGTTTTTTTTTGTAGTACATTTGTCTACATGTACAATATATTCGAATTGAAAATGTAATATTTTAGGTCGTTAATTTTCGTAAGTTATTCATAATAAGGATATAAGTCAGTGGTGGCCTAGTGGTTAAAGGGCCCGCCTCTCGTTGCCGAGGGCGCGGGTTCGATCCTGGCCCGGGCAAATACCAATGTGATTTTTCCGAGTCATATGTACTTTCTAAGACTATTTAGACATCACTGATTAATATTGATTCCCAAAAAGAGGGTTGATGTCAGGCAGGCCGGTCGTAAA